CGTGAGCGGCCCCGACTGGCTACTGGTGAACCTGGATGTCAGCGGGTACTTCCGTGTCAACTACAACCCAGAGAACTGGAACCAGCTCCTCAGACAGCTCTCCACCAACCACCAGGTACATGGGGCCAGCTGGGGTGTGGGCTGTGGGTGGGCCCCCACACCATGCACCCCCACACCCCATGCACCCCACACACCCCACTCACCCCACTCAGGGCTGCCCTGAGATGCTGACTCTGCCCTCTCCCAGGCCATCCCCGTGATCAACCGTGCCCAGATCATCGATGACGCCTTTAACCTGGCCAGGTGAGCTGTGCTGGCTGCCCTGGGTGCCTGCTGGGGCGAGGGGGACGGGCGGGCTGGGCACCCTGGGATTAGGCAGCGGCTGTGGGGCCGGGAAGCTGACGCTGCCCCCACCCCTCACAGGGCCAAGTACATCAATGTGACCTTGGCCTTGGACACCACACGGTTTCTGAGCCGGGAGACAGCGTACATGCCCTGGGAGGCGGCGCTCAACAATCTCCATTACTTCCAGCTGATGTTTGACCGCAGTGAGGTCTTCGGAGTGATGACGGTGAGCAGTGCCACCACCGCCTAGCCCTGGCCCCACAGCGGGTCCCGCTGCTTGGCAGAGCCCCGTGCTGGGGGAACGGGGGCAAGGGGCTGGGTCTGCACCCGGAGCTGGGCAGGGGGCTGCTGCTGGTGCCACTGGGTGCTGACCATCCTCCTGCCTCCCAGAAATATATGCAGAAACAGGTGATGCCCCTCTTCAACCACTACAAGAACATCACCAATAACTGGATCACCATCCCCAGTGGCCTGATGGACCAGTGAGTGCCGCAGTCCCGGGGCCAGGCTGGACCCCTGGGGTCTCCCTGACCTCATGAGGACAGTCACCCCAGTGTGTGGGAGAGGGCATGGCCCCGCTTGCGGCCTGGCACCGGATGGTTGGTGTGTGGCTACCGTGTGCTGGTCCCCCGCCCCACACAGCCCCTCTCTCCCCAGGTACAACGAGATCAATGCCATCAGCACAGCCTGCTCCTACGGCATCGCCGAGTGCCAGACCCTGTCCACCGATTACTTCCGCAAGTGGCAGCAAAATGTCGCCAAGAACCCGTGAGTCCCCAAGGTGCCCCGGTGCCACGGTAGGCGGCTGGGCTGGGCACGACAAGGGGCTCCCGGCTGAGACGGCTCTTCTCTCCTGCAGGATCCCCCCGAACCTGCGCTCCTCCATCTACTGCAGCATTGTGGCCACAGGCGGGGAGGAGGCCTGGAACTTCATCTGGGAGAGGTTCAAAGAGGCCACCGTTGTGTCCGAGGCTGACAAGCTCCGCACAGCCCTCTCCTGCAGCCCCCAACCCTGGATCCTCAATCGGTGGGTGTGGGGTCCTGGGCGGATGCCACGGCTCTGTCCCTGCCAGCCCCTCACCCAGCAGTGTCCCCCCTAGGTACCTGCAGTACACCCTCGACCCCAACAAGATCCGGAAGCAGGACGCCACCGCCACCATCAACAGCATCGCCAGCAACGTGGTGGGGCAGCCCCTGGCCTGGGACTTCATCCGCGGCAACTGGAGGATGCTCTTCACCCAGTGAGCACCGTGCAGGGAGCTGTGGGGGGCTGTGGAGGGCTGGTTGGGGCAGGCAGCATCCCCCGTCTGCCTGTGCCCCTCAGGGGGGGAGGCACCATCCCTTCGCCCAGCCGTGTGGGGTCGGCTCAGCCTCGGTCCCCCAGTGCTGCTCTGCCCAGGGCCCCTGGCTCAGCCATCCCTCTGCTCTCCCAGGTACGGGGGCGGTTCCTTCTCCTTCTCCCGGCTGATTTTATCAGTGACCCAGCGGTTTTCCACGGAGTTTGAGCTGCAGCAGGTGAGGCTGGACCCTGGCAGGGTCCGTGGGACCGGGCATCAGGGACCCCAGCCCTGGCAGGAGCAGGGCCATGGCTCTGAGCTGTGGGTGCCTTGCAACCCGCCCTTTGCCAGCAGCCCTTGGGACACAGGGCTCCTGTTCCTGCCCCTGCCCCTGGTGTGCCCACGTGTCCGAGCAGCTTCTGTCCCCATCCCGGGCTGCCGGGGTGCTGCTGGGGGCTATCAGGGTACTGTCGGGGTGCTGCTGGGGGCTGCTGGGGTACTGCTGAGGGCTGCTGGGGTGCCCCATGCCTGCTCCAGCACCTCTTCTCCTCGGCAGTTGGAACAGTTCAAGGCGGACAACCAGGACATCGGCTTTGGGTCAGGGACGCGGGCGCTGGAGCAGGCCCTGGAGAGGACCCGCGCCAACATCAAGTGGGTGAAGGAGAACCAGGAGATGGTGCTGGCCTGGTTCCAGGGCGAAACAGCCTCCATCTAACTGCATGGCCCCGGCTGCTGTGCACCCGCTTCCCAGCCCGGCTGCAGGGCTGGCTGGCACAGGATGGGCTGCGGGGGCCGAGCCTGAAGCTCACAGACCCCAGCACCCTGTGGCTCGGCTAGA